AACCGAATTGAAAAAAACCGAACCGAACCGAACTCTTTTGGTTCGGTTCGGTTTTGGTGGTCTAGAAACCGAACCAAACCGAACCGAACCGAACCGAAATAATTAAATTAATATTTTTTTAATTTTATTTATTTAATTATTTGATTTTATTATATTAGAATATGATACTTCGGACTGCTGCTTTGGTAGGACTTGTTTACTTTCCAATTCAAATTGTCTTCTCAGCTTCTCCATCTACAACAAAAATTAGAACTTATACCATTACATGCAATATTTCTAGTTTATATCATTAAGTGCAACACATATAAGAACACATATCTCAACTGCATTGCAGTTGATTAGGGAAAGCAAACAGCGTATAAAGTCTCATGAGTTTATTAAACACTACGAGATCAAAAAAAAAATTCAAACTTTCTCACCTGTGGCCAAGTATAGTAGCTTCCGTGGCCTAACAATTTTGAAAAGTATATCAATATATTCAAAAATATTGATGAACACCTCTTCAAAATTTGCTGGTGGTAGAAGCTGAACATAGAATGTAGAAATTATATTATGTAACCACATATATGGATAAAAAAAATTCGGACCATAAAGATAAAGAAAATATCAAAAATTGTTACCTAGACAATAATCCAAATAAATAGTATATTATAGAATGTTTATCTTATTGCTAGTGAAGAATACATGTATATATATATAGAGAGAGAGAGAGATTGAGAGAAAGAGAGGAATGAATAAGGTCGTAATCCATCATCATAGTCTAAAAAGAAATCTATTTACAGTTAAAGTTTAAACTCAAAATATTTTAAAAAAAACCTTTATGTTATAATTCTAGTTGAACTTTAAATGTTTATTTTCATTATCTTTAAGTCTAGTTGGAATATTTATGTTATGATTGTGTTGGATATGTTAAAATTTAAGATTTCAAATTTTTTTCATTTTTTGAAAAAAAACCGAAACCGAACCGAAAAAAACCGAAAAAAAATTGAACCAAACCAAACCGAACCGAAATTTCGGTTTGGTTTTGGTTTTGGCAAAAAACCGAACCGATTTGAAGCGAACCCACCCCTATGTGTAGCTATGGTTATTTTCGTCAACTTCGTCCGAATTTTGTCAAAATAAGTTATGTTGGAGGACCATTGCTACAATTAAGGTCTCTCAACCCATCAAAACGTGTAGATATGGTCTTTTTCGTCAACCTCGTCAGAATTTTGTCAAAATGAATTATGTTGGAAGGACCATTGCTATAATTGGGTTAAAGGTGAGAGATCATTGCTCCAATTGGGTTAAAGTTTATGGACTATTCTCCAGTTGGATTAAAGTTGAGAACCAATGGTAATGAATTTTTAGTTGAGGGACCATAACTGCACGTTTTGATGAGTTGAGAGACGAATGATAATGAATTTTTAGTTGATGAATCATTGCTCTAATTGAGTTAAAGTTAAGGAACCATTATACAATTTACTCTAATTTCAAGGGTGGTGCTATTCACACACCTGTTTTTACTTATGAACTCTTAGCTTTCGGCCGCTAGATTCGATGAACTGAAGAATTGAAGAAGAAGACCATTGCTACAATTTTCTCATTTGGTTTTTAATATTTGCCCATTGATTCAACCTCACGTGTGTGGTACGTGACTTATTTTAACTGAATTTTTAACAGAATTGATGGAAATGATCATAACTACACGTTTTAACGAGTTAAGAGATCAATGATCATGAATTTTTAATTAAGAGACCATTACTCTAATTGAATTAAAATTGATTATCGTTGCTACCATTTCGTCCTTTTGAAATTAGACTTCAGTTGTCTTGATTTGACAATTTGAAACATGCTGTTATCTTTTCTTTGAATTATTAAGTAAATGAACATGATTTCAACAAAAATGGGCTCCGTGCCGTTCATTACTCGTCTTGCTGATTTTGTTTGTTTCAACAAAAACATAAAATTCCACACAGCTTATTTAGCTAAATAATCTTATTTAACAGAGGTCTAAAAACTATGGCTTCAAACTGCAGGGCACAGGAATAAGATCCCTTCCGTTCAGATGCTTATTACAAGTTTGAGTTCCATTTATTCTAACCGACCATTCGAATTATCTTCTCAACTTCTCCTTCATCCTCTCAACGGCAGCCCTAAGAGTTCCTTCGTCTTTGCAGAAGGTAAATCTTACTAGATTCTTCCCATCTTCCGGGTTTAAGTAAAATACACTGGTGGGGATTGCCACCACTCCAACTTCTTTGATCAGATACTCACAAAAGGCAACATCATTTTCCAGTCCAAAAGGAGTGTGATCAACAACCACAAAGTAGGTACCGCTTGATGGATACACTTTGAAACCGACAGATTTCAATCCCTCGACCAAAATCGCCTTCTTTGCCTGGTAATCTCTTTTCAGCTCCACATAGTAGGAGTCTGGAGCTCTGAGAGCAGTTGCAGCTGCCCATTGCATTGGAGTGGAGGTAGCAAATGTGAGAAAAGAGTGTGCCTGCCGAACTCCCCATGACAGGTGTGGAGGAGCTACAGCCCAACCGATCTTCCACCCGGTCAAGGAGAATGTTTTTCCCAAGGAATTCATGGTTACTGTACGCTCGTACATTCCAGGAAGAGAGGCCGGTGAAATGTGATCCATTTCAAAAGCCAACTTATCATAAACTTCATCACTGAATACCAACACATCATTTTCAATGCAGAGTGATGCAATCACATCGAGTTCCCCTCGACTGAACATTTTTCCAGTAGGGTTATGTGGAGAATTTAGAAGAATTGCACGAGTATTCTTCGAGATTGTGGATTTGAGCTCATCAATGGGAACAGCAAAATCCGGAGGACGTAATGTGATACCTTTTACTTTAGCACCAGCCATGGATAGAGTAGCTTCATATGAATCATAGAAAGGAGCAAAGAGGATAACCTCGTCACCAGGATTTATCAACCCCAGCATAGTTGCTGCAATTGCCTCTGTGCACCCAGAGGTGACAGTTATTTCTTTCTCAGGATCCACAACGAGTCCCGTATCCTTCTTGAATCGCTCAGCTATGGCATTGTTAAGGTCTGGAACCCCATATCCGCGAGCATATTGATTCTTCCCATCTTTAACAGCCTGAATTGCTGCTTCCTTTACAAACTCTGGACCATCAAAGTTGGGGAAGCCTTGCCCAAGGTTAATTGCTCCATGTTTAATTGCAAGATTACTCATTTGAGTGAAGATAGTTGTCTTGAACTTTTCCAAGCGCTTTGCCACCTGACAAAAAAATGCACATACATAAGGAAGACTTCAACTCTGCAACTGCAGAGCAATTCAGGGAAGCAGCATTTACAAATGCAGCTCAATCATAACCCAATACTTAATGCACAAGCCTCATCAAAATTCACATGGTATAAGTCATGACCACCGCCTATATTTCATCTCAATTGGATATCACCATCCCATGATATTGTCACCTCTGACCCCCAGTAAAAATAAATTAGCATTACAAGTATGCCAAAAGCTTTTGGATGCAAGCACGCACTGACGTAGAGATAGAAAAAGAACAAATGAATAAACTGTACAATGCAAGGCTTAAGTCTGTATACATGAAACTTAAGCGCATAAAGCGGGAAAAAGGAACGGAAAAAAGAGATAAAAGGATAGTCATCTTGTATTAAAACATAACTGGAAAACCCAGCATTGACTTCCCTAAAACTCTAATTAGGGATCACTAGTAGTCATCTTGTAATTCTCAATCGTAACTTTTATGGTTTTGTTTTGCAGTTGGCAGAACAAGCAACTCCTTCACTTGATGTTAAAATATGAACCTTTGGACTTTGTGGCACTAAACTTGTGCATCTAATAACCCCATTATCCAATGATAAACCTATATTTAATGGTACAAGTACATCATCTAATTACATTGTTAATTATAATTATGATCTTGCTTCAGCAGGATTAAAGATGGATTGCAGTCAATTCTTACAATCTGCAGTACAGCGGAAAAAGCTTAAGGATCATTCTACAAGTTAAGGATCCCAACATAACCTGCATAATGAATCCTACTGCAGATCATAAGAAAATCAAAGAGCCCAAAACCCATATAACAAAAATGAAGGTTTTTACATGCGTAAGTTCCCAAATAACAAAAATCCCCAAACACCCAATTCGATTCAAGCCACATACTTTAACAATCCGCCATGAAATTGGAACGATGACAAGTTGGGTAATACCTGTAAAGACTGCTGGGTCTTCTGGGTCGACTCCGATTGACCCGGAACGACATCGTTTTGGGTGGGAACGGTGGACATGGCGGCGGAGAAAGAAGGGCAAGGAGTGCAGGATACGCTTCTGGTCCTGATAAAGTTAAAGTCTGCACAAAAATTCTTGGAAAAGTTGAGGAATGTGGAAGGGCTGAGGCGCATTTCATGGGATGGCCAGGTGCATTGAATCTGCATGACAAAATGCCTCAATGACAACGAAAGGCGAGTGAAGAATCGGAGTTGGAGTTGGAGTTGGGAGTTGGGATAAGTTTAGTATCCTTTAACAGACCACTATTTTTTGTGAAGGAGAATTTGTTAAGTTTAGTGGGAATGGTTTCCAAGTGTGGCCCAAACCAAAACATATAAGTTAGTGGGCCATTGTGAATTTTATTGGGTAGGCATGGATCATGTTGCTAATTATACATATACTAAAACCCAAACTCGGAAGGCATTGTTTTTCACTGTTTATGAACAGTGGAAGATAGTCTTGAAAACCACTGGTTTTTCGCTTTTCTTCATTGAACCAGATATTTCGGAAGTAAATTCATAAAATCAGTGTAAGTTTGTTTACAATTTATTTAAAAAAAAATGTTATATGCTCTTACAATACAAGAAAGGCTACTCCCACAAAATGTATCAACTAATGTGCTATTTTAAACTCTGCAGCTTTTCCAAATGCATAGAGCCTTTTAAAAATACTGCTACCCTCTACCAAACAAGCCAGTAAAGCTCAAATATTGCAGACAGCAAAGAAGGTAACAATTAAAGAGTTGGCTTTTTTAGATCCAAATTTGTACAAGGTATTAAATCTGTTTATCTTTTGTTAAAAATGTTGAATGCATGTTGACACATTTGGTTAAAAATATCTATATTATTTATCCTGCTTATACAAGTCTTTGTTAAATTGTTTTACATAACGAAACCTTTCTCTACAAAGAATCTGTCAAGCAGTTTGACGCACACTACGATTGGTGGTACAGTGCTTGCCTAAACTGTGCCAAACAAATGCACAAAGATCCAACAATTGGGCAATTGATTTGTCAAAAACATGCAAACCAGCTACCAACTCCTTGGTAATTTTTTAACATGTTATGATTAACTTTTATCACCAATTGCACAAAATATTTCTTGCATTTCTTCTTTTTGGCCTATGCCTCATGTTACAATTTACTGCCTACAATTATTGGTGTTCTAATAATTTTTTAAATCTCAATGTTATGCAATTAGAAATCCATTCCATCTTATTGGTTAAAATTATTGCTGTCATAATGGTGTCTTTCATAGAAACAGTTTAATTATAGTTATATACAAATGAAAAATCTATGCTTCCCACTTAAGTGGTATTGGAAAATTCTAAATTGATATTAGTCAATCAAAGTTTCTATCATATGATGGGTTTAAAAATCTAGATTCTGCATTTGTCTTTCATTGCATATGTTAGTTAAACAGTTTGTTCCCGGATCCAGGGGAGAAAATGTTCGATGGAATAATTTCTTAGATGTATTTCCACATGCCCAAGGATTAGGTCCACTTTTTACAGGTCAGTGGAATATTTATGCTCAAAATCCCGATTCAAGTAGTCAATATATAAATGAAAAATGTTAAATCAAGATAAATAGATGTAAACAATAGTGCTAAAAAACTAATTTCATTAAAAATATTTGGCATTCATTATTTACTCAAATGGTTATCCACTATGTCAAATAATTTGTTCAAATTCATTTCTTCCGTAAGTTTTCATTCTTCTTTTTCACGTACTTCATATCAATTGATCTTCAAAATGTCTTGATCAGAAAGAGTAAACACTAAACAATTTTTCTTAACGTGTTTTCTTTGGCTTTGTTTAAGAAATATATCTTTGATGATCAATCTTATCTAATTTAAACTTTTATACGCAGGTACAAACTAAACTTGGTCCTTGAGGACGAAACCAGTGAAATGAATGCTTTAATTATTGGCAAATCTGGTGAGAAGCTTTTTTGGCACAACATGCAGAGATTTAGTGCTCAATCCAAGACTGGTGGACAGAGATTTTATTCAAATTGATGGATTTGGGTAAGAAATAAACCTAAATCTTTTCGGTTTGTTGCAGACAACTTGCATATAGTTGTTGTATGCAAGTTTTTGAGAAAATGGTATTGAGAATCGGATAATTTTGAGAATCCATTGTTCTGCTGCAGCGACTTCTTAGCAAGTATGCTCTCTCTCTCTCTCTCTCTCATGTTTAACATTCGTCTGGGTGATGGTGATTTGAGGCTGTACGAACTGGAATTGCTCAGGGTAGGCTTCAATTTGGCCAAATTTGTTTACCAAGTTTTTAAGAAGTTGTCTATCAAACTTACTACAGTCGAAAATTTAAGATTCTTAGCACATGCTTAATGAAAAATAGTTGCTAAATGTTTTTATCTCACTGTCTTTTTCTAGCTTCTTATTTGAAACAACTCTTGCTTATATTGTTTATCTCAGATCATCAAAAATGTGGTTATCAACTTTCTCCTGTCCCTTTTGCTGCACAAAGAACATTGAATCCATTTTGAACAGATGTTACTTTCGCATCTCTAATCTATATGCATCAACAACGTTTCTCTTATTTTTTGGTATGTAAATATCTCTCTAATCTAGGTTAGACAATATTTTTTGCATGCACTAGCCCAACATTTCTAATATTTTGTATGTAAATACCGGTCCTGATCTATTATCTAGGTTGAACAATATTTTTTGCATGTACATAGGCCAGCATTTTGTGTAAGTTTATCTTACATTGCCGGTCCCAAGCCCGGGTAAAGGAGAAGGGAGATGGCGTCAGGTAGTCGACAGCCGACACTCCTCAGTTACATCGAATCCTTATGAAAATGAATCCAGAACGAAATCGCGCTAAAGCTAGGGCGTCACCCGTAAGTGGCGCGCTGTGTGGCTCGAGCACAGTGATAAGTGAGCAAGGGTCGCTGTATCTCCATCGGCACCCGGATGCAGTGTTAAATGAGCAAGGGGGCCATAGAAACTTCTTTTCGAACAACTCCACTCAAAGTTGTTTGGGAGCATATGCTCCTATCAACTTTACACAGGACACACAAAATAAGTACTTTGATCATATTGGACGGGGGAAGGTGAAGAAGCTAGGACAGAAGGGTAGAGTTCAAGAGAGTAGAATGCGTTTAGGAACGTGGAATATAGGAACCTTAATGGGAAAATCTATGGAAGTAGTGGAAGTTATAGTGAGGAGAAGGATAAATATTATGTGCCTACAAGAAACTAAGTGGGTTGGTCTTAAGGCAAAGGATCTAGAAAACTCAGGGTTTAAACTTTGGTATTCGGGCACAAATAGAACGAGAAACGGTATTGGCATCATCGTGGACAAGACCTTGACACAAGATGTTGTAGATGTCAAGAGGGTAAGAGATAGAATCATGTCAATCAAGATTGTAATAGGACAAGAACTCATCAATGTGATTAGTGCGTACGCACCTCAAGTAGGGTTGGATACGAGTTCGAAGGAGAAATTTTGGGAAGACCTTGGAGACTTGGTGCAAGGAATTGCCCAGACGGAGAAGTTATTTATAGGAGGAGATTTAAATGGACACGTGGGTAGAGAGACAGGCAACTATGGAGGTTTTCATGGTGGCCATGGTTTTGGGGAGAGAAACGAGGATGAGGAAGTTATCTTGGATTTTGCAATGGCATATGATCTCTTCTTAGCCAACACCTTCTTTAAGAAGAGAGAAGAACATGTGATCACCTACAAGAGTGGGTCGTAAAAAACACAAATAGATTTTCTTCTAATGAGGAAAGGGGATCGTATAACTTGTAAGGATTGCAAAGTTATACCGGGAGAGAGCTTGGCTAATCAACATCGCTTGTTGGTGATGGATGTACATATCAAAAGAGTGAGAAAAAAGAACAAGACTTGGAAGTGCCCAAGAACTAGATGGTGAAATCTAAAAGGAGAAAAACAAGCCATTTTCAAAGAGAAAGTAATCACCCAGTGTGAGTGGGATAGAGAGGGGGAAGCTAGCCAAAAGTGGGATTCCATGGCTAGTTGTATCCGAAAAGTAGCAAAAGAGGTATTAGGAGAGTCCAAGGGCTCTGCTCCACACCAAAAGGAATCTTGGTGGTGGAATGAGGAGGTACAAACAAAGGTGAAGGCTAAGAAGGAATGTTGTAAAGCCTTATACAAGGACAGGACCGATGAAAATGGTGAAAGGTATCGAAGAGTGAAGCAAGAGGCGAAGAAAGCTGTGAGAGAAGCTAAGTTAGCGGCTTATGACGACATGTATAAGCGACTAGATACCAAAGAAGGAAAGTTGGATATCTATAAACTAGCTAAAGCAAGGGAAAAGAAGAGAAGGGACCTAAACCAAGTGAGGTGCATCAAGGATGAGGATGGAAAGGTTCTTGTTACAGAGAATGCGGTCAAAGACAGATAGAGAGGTTATTTTCATAATCTTTTCAATGAAGGACATGAAAGGAGTACTTCTTTAGGGGAGTTGAGTAACTCAGAAGAGTGTAGAAACTACTCCTTTTATTGTCGATTCAGGAAGGAAGAAGTGGTTGTAGCTTTGAAGAAGATGAAGCATAGAAAAGCAGTGGGCCCAGACGATATACCGATCGAAGTGTGGAAAGTCTTGGGAGAGACAGGTATAGCATGGCTCACTGACCTTTTCAATAGGATTTTGAAAACGAAGAAGATGCCAAATGAGTGGTGAAAGAGCACTTTGGTGCCTATCTACAAGAATAAGGGCGATGTACAAAATTGCATGAACTATAGGGGTATTAAGCTAATGAGTCATACAATGAAGCTCTGGGAGAGAGTCATTGAGCATAGATTGAGGCAAGAGACACGGGTTTCGGACAACCAATTCGGGTTTATGCCAGGGCGCTCAACCATGGAGGCAATCTATCTCTTACGAAGATTGATGGAAAGATATAGAGATGGGAAAAAGGATTTACATATGGTCTTTATAGATTTGGAAAAAGCGTATGATAGGGTCCCAAGAGACATTCTTTGGAGGATTTTAGAGAAGAAAGGAGTACGAGTAGCATATATCCAAGCTATAAAGGATATGTATGAAGGAGCAAAGATTGCCGTAAGAACTCATGAAGGACAAACCCAAAGCTTCCCCATAACTGTAGGATTACATCAAGGCTCTTCCTTAAGTCCTTACCTTTTTGCGTTGGTAATGGATGAGTTAACAAGACATATTCAAGATGATATTCCTTGGTGTATACTTTTCGCAGACGATATAGTGTTGATAGATGAAACTTAGGAAGGGGTAAATGCGAAGCTTAACCTTTGGAGAGAAGTGTTGGAATCTAAAGGTCTTCGCCTAAGCCGATCAAAGACAGAATATATGGAGTGCAAGTTCAGTGCAAATGGAGGCCAAAATGAATTAGGGGTGAGGATCGGAGATCAGGAAATACCAAAGAGCGATCGTTTTCGCTACTTAGGATCTATCTTGCAAAAGAACGGAGAATTAGATGGAGATCTTAACCATAGAATACAAGATGGATGGATGAAGTGGAAGAGTGCATCCGGCGTGTTGTGTGACCGCCGTATGCCACTGAAGCTCAAGGGAAAATTTTATAGGACGGCAATAAGGTCGGCGATGCTGTATGGCACAGAATGTTGGGCGGTGAAGCATCAACACGTACACAAAATGGGTGTAGCGGAGATGAGGATGCTTCGTTGGATGTGTGGGCACACGAGAAAGGATAAGATTAGGAATGAGGATATCCAAGGTAAAGTAGGAGTAGCTGAAATTGTAGGAAAATTGAGAGAAAATCGGTTACGGTGGTTTGGACATGTGCAAAGAAGGCCTACTGACGCTCCGGTTAGAAGATGCGACTACGGGACAGAGGTTCAGGGTCGAAGGGGTAGAGGAAGACCTAGGAAAACTTTAGAAGAGACTCTAAGAAAAGACTTAAAGTATTTGGATCTAACGGAGGACATGACACAGGACCGAGCACAATGGCATTCTAAGATTCATATAGCCGACCCCACTCAGTGAAGAAGGCTTTGGTGTATTTAAAACAATACGTTGAAATGAAGCAAAGCTTATTTATTGATATCTCCGATAAGTTACAAATATGTACATATACATGAGTCAAAATAAACAAAAAAGAGGGAGCCTTCACAAAGGTTGCTTAGGAGAAGTCTCAGTAGTCGGTAGAGCCCTAGAAAGAGAAGGCACCGGATGGGGATCATTCGGAGCCTCAGTACTGGACAGAACCCTAGAAGGAGGAGGCATCGGAGGTTGATCATTTGGAGCTTCATTACGCGGTACAGCCCCAGAAGACGAAGGCAATAAATGCCTTTGGAACAAACCCACAAACCGCTGATGATCAAGTAAAACCTGAGTATTAGATACCTTAATCTGGTCAAGCTTCCTCTTCATGTTTGTAGCATAGTCATGTGCGAGCCGGTGCAACTGTTTATTCTCATGCTTGAGTCCTCTAATCTCCTATTTGAGACTCATCACTTCAGCCGCCAATGATTCAACTTGGCGGGTTTGAGCAAATAGGCGTTGGGCCATATTAGACACAGAACCTGCACACTGAACACTTAGAGCCAGAAAATCCTTAACAGCCAACTCATCAGACCATTTGGAAAGTAGTCTGTTATATTTGGGAGTGAGAAGGTTCTTGGCCACCACCACAGCAGTCATATCATTCTTCATCACGGAATCCCCAATGGTAAGAGGACTAGTAGGGGATAAGAAGGATGGGCGCCATATGTTGTCTAGAGAAGGCGTGGCTGCCTCTTCAACAAGGTTCAAGTCAAAACGACGGTCGGAGGGGCCAGATATTTTCAAAGGTGTTGAAGAGAGAAAAGGTCGGACAAATCAAGATCTTAGAAGTGCAAGAAGGGAGCTTCTACTGGTGAAGATTCAAGTGTGCTTTGGAACTTAATGTCAGCCTCTATAAAAATCTGCACTTGACGGAGCTTTAGAAATCGAAGAGGCGTTTGCTTTCTCAAAAACTGGGCTGCTCAGA